AGGACTTTGTGCTTGTGAGGCAGGCGGCACCACTAAGCTAAATCACCGGGCCTCAAATTTATACTATTTTAAACTTGCACTTGTTTTTCTAAGACATTTTTGAAAAAAAATTTAAAACAATTGTTAAGAGATTTAAAACTGTGCCTTTGCAAATGATTACATTGAAAACAGGAACATTGGTTATGTAGAATTCATTTTAAATGTTCATTGTTTTTAGTGGAAGATATTTGGAGGGTTTGGTACAATTGAAAAATCAGATAAATTGTGTTTATGTTCACTGTTAGAATTTTAATAGAAATTTGCGCGCTCATGTGTGTGTGCATATGTACTCTTCACCTTGAATGGTTTCATTCATTTATTTAACAGACAGGTGTTGATTACCTTCAAAGTTCAGGGCTTATTTACAAACATGCTGCTATGTGGAAATACAGAAATACCTGCTGGGAAGCAGTTGCTGCAGCAGAGTGTTTGAGACAAAATGGTTATGGACTAGGGCAGTGGTGGCGAACCTGTTAAGAGCTTTCAGTGATGACAAACAGCCTGCTATGGCATGCGTGCCATAGTTTTGCCACCACTCATCTAAGGCCTAACTAGGGTGACAGAGCAAGTGGTAGTGGTGGGTGCTTGGATTTAGGGTATATTTGGCGAATAAATAGTGTAAGATGATGGGTCAGTGTTCTGTGCCTATGTAATTTTCTTTGTAAGACATTTTTGGGTGCTGTTTCAAGTATATATATCTACTATAATTATCCTTTTTTTAAAAGCTATTTCCTTATTTACCACGTGGCATTATTTTATTAATATCTGTAAACATTTATATTGTTCTAGATAAATTCTGTATTTGTTTTCCGAGATGTTTTTGTCTACTTAATATATTACTGGCAATGTTTTAATTTCATCTACATTTCACTCTTGCTAGCGTAATACATATCATCTAGAAAAGTTATATACTGTGTCAATAGATGAGAAAAATGGCACTATGATAGTGAGGGAAATTACACAGAATAACTTTGCTTCATTTACTATTATGTTCATTGAGTTTAAGTGACTTTATCTTCGCTCCCTAAGGATATTAGTAACCTGTGTTAACTACTTCCCTTGTAGAATTTGTGTTTTTAAAAAGTTTGTTGGGCCTTGATAGCCTGTTCTTTCACAAAGTGGTGACTTCTTTTTTTTTTAGGTGTTAAGGGAATAAATAATATGTGTTAACTATACTTGAAATTTGTGAAGAGTTACTATATTAGCTTATCACGGGAGCTGCAAATTTTTCTGTAAAGGGCCAGAAGGATCTTGATAACATAGTTTCTGAGGTGTTTGTTTATTGGTACTGGGGATCAAACTCAGAACCTTGTGCTTGCGAGCCAGGTGGCTTGGCTCTATTTTTATTTTTTAACAATCGTATAAAATGTAAAAACTATTTTTAACTCTTGAGCCTTACAAATACTGTGGACAAGATGTGGCCTGTGAAGAATAGTTTGCTAGAAAGCCTCTAATCAGACTTTAATTCATGGAAAGATACTACATGAATGCATAGCTTTTTTTCTGTGTACACATATATTTTTTTCTTAGAACTAATCTGATGTTGGAACAAAATCTGTAGTATTTTTGTGCTTATTTCCTGCTCTCTTCAAATTTGTCAGTTCTTTAGAGATTAATTTTGTCATTTAGCATTATGTTCTTTTAATTTTTACCAAGTTATATTGCCTTTTTATTTAGCTCAGTGATTATGCTTCTAAGAATAAGGATTCTAACTAAGATTAACTTTAGAAAATGAGTTTATCCTGAACACATTACTTCTATTATGAGTAGGTTGTGAATTATTTTTTTAAAATAACTGAGTGCAAGCTGGGCATGGTAGCACACGCATAGAACCCAACACGAGTGAGGCTGAGGCAGGAGTATCACCCATGAGTTTGAATCCAGGCTGGGCTACATGATGAGTTAGAAGCCATCCTGAACTGCATAGTCAGACCCTAGCTCAAAAAAAAAATTTTTTTTAAATAACCAAGGGTAGGACTGACAGCTTTGCTGTAAATATTTTTAGGTGGTGAAAGGCATAATAAGAATGACACTGCTCTTCCAGTTTTTTTGGACCCTTTGGTAAGAGTGTTCATCATGGGAACATCTTATGAAATACGTGCAGAAGTTTTTAATACTCCACATTCTATCTACCTTTGAAACGGTGTTTGAAGATTTTATAAGTAGAACTTTGTTGAGACAGATGATGAGTAATCCCTCAGCCATACTCTACATGTTAGGTAGGCGTATGTGGCTCCAGAAACTATAGTGTTTAACTTTATTGTTGTAGATAGTTTGAGATTTGAAGACTAAGGAAGCACCAATTGTAAGGCTAACTGTAGTTCATATTGGTATATACAAAATGTAAATTGATAACAGTAGGTGAGGAAAAATTTTTGGTCACTTTTATATGATTTCAGCCATACCTGGGTAATAAATTGACTATAAAACACTATACTTTGCTCTCATTTCGTGCTTTCTCATTATTCAAAAATACTGGCTTTGGATTGGAAGCATAGAGCACTTGCCCAGTAATAAAGGAGGCCCTGGGTGTTCAATCCCTATCACTGACACAGGTGTACACATTGAGCATCTAAAAAAACAAAAACAAAACAAAACTCTGTTTTCAAGAATTCTTCCAAGTAGCTAATAATAGGTTAATACGGTCAAGGAAATACTCAAATCATTATTAAAAAGTTTCTTCAGAAAATATCCATCCTTTTATTCCTGACTGCTGAGATCATTGATTTTTTATTAGATAATTAAGAAATTACAGTTAGTATATTTTAAGGGGCTGGGGATTTAGCTCAGTGGTGCTGCTGCCTGCCTCACAAGCACAAAAGTCCCAAGTTCAATCCCCAGTGCCAAAAAAAAAAAAAAGATGAGTAAGTATATTTTAATAGATAAGCAGGGTAGTCTAGTGCTAGTCTTTCATTGTTGTTTTTAAAATTGAAAGCTAAAGGATCTAGAGTGTGTGGCTTAGTGGTAGAGCTTAGCATATATGAGTCTCTAGGTTCAGTCTCTGAGCACCAAAATTTTCAGATGAAATCTAAAGAAATACATTTATTGTAGCATCTAGTTTCAGTACTGAGAGGGTGAGAGAGAAACAAGAGATAGGTCTCCCTTAATCATCTCCATCAAATACAGCCTTTTAGTCTTTTGTTGTATATACCACGAATTTTAAAATTTTTCTACAGATACATTTATACAACCATGTACACACATTTTGTTGGGGTCACACCATGTAAGTACCTTTGTGTTCTTCTTGTACTATAAACATTTTAAAAATATTTACCAAAATCATGACTTGCAGTGACCTTCTCACCAAGAGATAGAATGGTCAATAAATTGATTTGTGAACTAAGGGCAGTTAAGTACTATAGCCCATGTGTGAAACAATAAGAAATAGTGTCTTTATGTTTACTTTATACTTGTTTTTGGCTCTGCTGCTTATTCCATGGCTTCATACGATAACCATCCCCTTTATTTTTTGAAGCCAGTTTTGGCAGAGTATGAAATTTTAGGCATAAGTATCACTTAGAAGTCAGAGGAAAAACATTTTTATTCAAGATTCTGTTAAAGAGAAAGTTTATCTTTGTGTGTGTGTGTGTGTGTGTGTGTGTGTGTGTGTGTGTGTGTGTGTGATGTGTGCCAGCTATCAAACTCATTGCCTCAGCATGCTAGCAAAGCCCTGTACTACTGAGCCACACCGTCAGTCCTCTACTCATTCTCACAATTGAATAGTTTCTAATGCCTCAGTATCCCTCTCTCTCCTTCCCCTCTCCCTTTTTCCCACTCTTTCTCCCTCCTTCACTCCCTCCCTCTTTCCCCATTTCCATCTCCATCTTTTTAATAGAAGGCGCTCAAAATTTGCAGATGAAACAGTTGTGCCCTTTATAGTATCCATCTGCTGTTTAGATAGTGTTCACAGGCTTTTCACAAGGGCATTACATTCATATTTATTGACTATTCTGTTTTATATTCTTTTTGGATGTGTTTATGTGTTTGAGTGACAGGGTCTAGCTGTATAGTTCAGGCTGGCCTTGAACCTATGGCAGTCTTATCTCAGCCTCCCAAGTGCTAGGATTACAGGCATGTGCACCACACACAGCTTCTGTTGTATATTCTTTTGACTATAAATAAAACAGATTTGTAATAATTTGTGAATTGATTTGTCTTGGATTTAGTATCAGAATAATAGAATTGTAGAATTATTCTATTTTGGTAATAATTTCTTACAGGTAGATTTTTTGTTACTAACATTTGTGTTGTTGATTCTCCATATGATATTTTAAAAATCACTTTTGTAGGAAGATATATATCACACATTTACCTCAATAGCCATTTTAAGTGTACAATTTAGTGGTATCAAGTACATTCAAAATGTGCAACCTCTGCAATGTTGTATAACTATTTGTCTGTTAATGGACAATTAGGTGGTTTCTACATTTTGGCAATAGTAGATCCTGCTGTAGACATTGGTATACAAATACCTTGAGTCTCTGCTTTCATTTCCACTGATATGCCTAGGAATGGAATTGCTGAATAATGTGGTGATTCTACTATTCACTTTTCAAGGAACTGCCAAGCTGTTCTCTACAATAGCTGCACCATTTTATATTCCCAGCAGCACTGCACCAGGATTCTAATTTCTCACATCCTCTCATCCACAGTTGTTATTTTCTGGTACTATTTTTTTGGTTTGGGTTGGTTTGGTTTGGTTTGGTTTTGGTTTTGGTTTTTTAGTAATGGCCATCCTAACCAGTGCTAGGTGGTGTCTCACAGTTTTGATTTGCATTTCCCTAACAACTAAGGATGATGTTAACTATCTTGTCATGTTAATAGGCCATTTGTTTATCTTGGAAGAAATATTTATTTAAGTCCTCTGCCCATTTTGAGTGGGACTGTCTTTTTGTTGTTGAATGTAACACCTTTTTAAAAGGTGCACTATAATAATCCAGACTGTATTTCTCCCTTCTCAGGATTCCTACAGGAAACAAGTAGTAATTGATGGAGAAACCTGTCTCTTGGATATTCTCGACACAGCAGGTCAAGAGGAGTACAGTGCAATGAGGGACCAGTACATGAGGACTGGGGAGGGCTTTCTTTGTGTATTTGCCATAAATAATACTAAATCTTTTGAAGATATTCACCATTATAGGTGGGTTCAAGTTGAACATAATTGGCATTATGAAGTAACTAGCTTTCGTTTATTGAGTTTGCCAATTGCCATGCCTCTATTATCTAATTTAAATTTTACACTTGATCTTAGCCAAAAGGCCGAGAAGCGATCTAATTTAAATTTTAAAATAATATCTGTGAGGTAAGCAACATTCCCCTTTCATCAGTGGTTCCTAAGAATAAGAGCAGCCAGGTAACTTGTTCCAGATAGTTTAAGTGGTAATCGTGCTGAAACTGAAACCTAGGCCTGTTCTGACTCCAGAGCCTTCTGTATTCTCATGCACATCTTACATTGAAATTTTCAACATAGAGAAGGGCTTTTAACATAATGAACAGTGTACTGACTTCAGAGTTGCCCATATAGAACTCAGAGTCTTTCCAGTTGTCACTTCCTTTTGGGGGAAAGTACAGTAGTTCCCTTATCCACAGTTTCACTTATGCTCACCTGAGGTCTGAAAAGATTGAATTGAAAAAATTCCATAAATAAGCAGTTCATAAGCTTTAAGTAGCCTCTACTACAATAGGCTGCTGTAGTTATTTTATTATTGTTAATCTGTTACTGTGTCTTATTCATAAATTAAACTTTTTATTGTCAGTGTGTATGTCTGGGAAAAACAATATAGCGTTTAGTACTGTCTGCCACATAAGGCATCCACTGGGAGTCTAGCCATGTGCATCCGGATGATAAGGAGTGACTCCTGAAATGTGAAGATTACATTAACACTGTACTTCATGTTGTGGTAAACATAATTGTATGTGTATACATTTAGCCACATACCCATGTTTCTAAGATTAGAGTATTAGGCACAGTATTTTCTGTCGAAGCATGATCTGCTTGCATGTGAAACTATTAGATTGTAGTTTTACTGTGTTTCTACAGGTAACCAGAAAATAACCAGTAGGAAAATTTGACAAAGTAGAAATTAGTAACTGCATGAAAAGTGTTCATAAGGCAAAAGCTGTGGCAAAAGGCAAAATGTTATGAGGCAAAAGTTGTGATTTCTGACAGTTTTTGAACATTTTGGGGTTAACTAATGCCTCTACTATAACTTTTTTTCTTTCTCAGAGAACAAATTAAAAGAGTTAAAGACTCTGAAGATGTACCTATGGTTCTAGTAGGAAATAAATGTGATTTGCCTTCTAGAACAGTAGACACAAAACAAGCTCAGGACTTAGCAAGAAGTTATGGAATTCCTTTTATTGAAACATCAGCAAAGACAAGACAGGTAAGTAAATCTGGAATAAATGCAAATCTTTTTGGCAAAATATATCAACTGATTTTAATCATTAATCATAATTTATTAATACATGTTCTAATAGTATTTTGGAGACAGGAGGGCAAGCATAATAATATACATAACTGGTAGCATAGTTATTATATGTTAATTCATTCAATTTATCAGATTTCCTCTTTAAAATAGGAAGTGAACAGTGTTAAATCTCTTCTTGAGAGAGCAGTGCTTAATCCAGTTACCATGATACTACTTTTAGCTGAAAAATTTTCTTTAACTCTGAAATCATCTGATATTTAGGATTCAAGAAAGGTAGATATTTTTCTCAGTTATATATATATGAAGACAAAGAATAGGGGAACAAATTTTGAGTCTCCTACTTTGGAAGGATTTTTCACAAATATTTTTTACTTTTAGAGTAAATTTTGTTGTATTTAGAGTTTTATCATGGCAGAATTTTTTTGAGGATGTATTTATTTTTGGAACAAGTTTTCATTAAAGCAAGGGAGTATTGGCCGGGCGGGTTGACGCACACCTGTAATCCCAGCACTTGGAGGCTGAGATAGGAGGATCTCTGTGAGTTCGAGACCAGCCTGTGCTACATAGTGAGTTCCAGGTCAGTCTCAACTACATAGTGAGACCCTGTCTCAAAAAAACAAAAGAAAAACAACAACAAAAGCAAGGGAATATTTAGAAAGCAAATAGAAATTTTCAGGTACTTATTTAGTGCATTATTCAGACAAAAAATAATGCTAGATTAAACCTGAATTTTGTTTCAAAATTGTTTTAATAATTACTTTTTCTTTAGGTAAAATAATTTCAGTTGATTATTTAAAAAACTTTCATGGAATAAGAGTTTTAACATACAGGAAAAAATTCTAGAAATGATTACATAAAGACGTGGAATACAACTTCCACTGTAATTGATCAATGTATATTTAATAAATTTGTTTTGGGCTTCTTCTATTTACAGGTGCCTAGGAGCCAAAAAAAGATGACTCTGTAAAACTTGTTAAGATTTACATTCATAGCCAGACATCATATTTCAGTTTTAAGTGTTTTTTTAGGGGAATTAAGAATTCCTGTAGGTTGGCCATCCTGCAAGTATATTGTCTGTGGCAGTTTTACTAACACCTGATTTGTACGTTAAAGGAGGCCTTGTTATGCCTCACTTTATAGCTAAGTAAGATTTCATTCAGTCCATTTCCAGATTCCAAAGACTGGGAAGAGATTTGGTTTTCATTCACTTTTTACTGATCTCTGACCAGTTCCTTTGGTTTTCCTCAGGAGAGAAGGTACTCAGAAAACATGATTTAATGCTTTTCCTCCTAATATTTTCTTATTAAGAAGTTCATATATAACATCTGAAGAATCTTACTGAAAATATTTGCAAAGCCACTACCTAAATTTGACCATTCACATTTTATTATGCCTGCATTAGTTACAACTTTCAAAGGATGGATTTGAGTGAGCCTAGAGGACATTTTTAGTTGACATGAAAAACCATGAGACTCCCTAATATAAACGTCTTTAAGAGAAGTGCTTTTTCATACTTTAGCATACATACAAATCACCTGAGCTGACTGAAATCCGGGTTCTGAATCAGTGGGATTCCGATGAACCCTGTGAATTCTGCATTTCCAACAAGCTCCCAGTGGTTCTGATTTTGGTACACAGGTCTCTGCACAGGAGGGCAATAGAGACAGAAAAAGAAGACAGTGTTGTTCTCTACATCTCAGTGATGAGAGTCTAAAAGAGCTCTGTCTCTTCTTTGTATCATTGCTACCTCAGAAATACTGAGTTTTTCTTGGTGTTTGACATTAATGCTTTAATGCACTACAGCATTCATAATTGATCAGAAAATTACCAGTCTTGCTTTTAAAATAGATTTTTAGGTTTTATATTGTTTTGTAGCCTTGGTTTTTTTTTTTTTTTTAATTTGGTTTTCTTTTTGATAGTATATGGTGTAGATTAGCCCGAATTTGCTTTTAGAAATTTATGTGGATCATCTAATTAATATGTAGAAGAATTTAATACAAAAGAACTTAACAGTGGTGTGTCATATTTCTATCCTGTCTTACTGATGTCTTTACGTAGTATATGTTGATAAACTCTATAACTTGAGATATTTAATTTGTTCTTTTTTTATAAAATGGACTTGGTAATTTGCTTAGAAATTAATTTGCTGGGCTGGGGATTTAAAAAAGGAATTTGCTTTGAAAAGTTTATTCATCTTTTAGTTTTGAAATTAATTTGATATTTGTATGCTTTTGTAACTTTTTTTAAAGAGTTATTCCAAATAGTTTTAGAAATTATAATATACAATATATACATTTTAATAAACTTTACAGCTCTAATTTTTGTGAAAATTTGAAGCCCTACTTTTGCAGAGTATTGCATTACTCATCTGTTATTTGGTTTTTCATTTAAATAAAATAAGACTAATTTAATCAGCAACTTTTATTGTACCTTAATTTCGAGTCTTGTTCATGAGCCTATAACATACATACTGGAAAGAATTATATTCAGGGTAGTACCAATAGAGCATTCATTTAAAAGTTCTTTCAAGTTAAGATCTAGGAAGCTTTTTCTGTAAAGGGTCAGACACTAAATACTTGGCACTTTGAGGGCCACAACAAGTACTGTCTGTTGCTGTTTTTAAAAATAATTCTTTAAAAGCTGTATTTTTTTTGCCTTTTTATAGTACAAAAGAGGTGGTGTCTGTTTCTGGCCTAAGGATTTCATTATGCTAATACCTGATGCTCTGGATAATTTTATTTGATTTGACACTGGAAGTTAGGCCAGACTTTCAACTAAAATTTTATAGGTGAACTCTAATACTGCAATTTAATACTTGATCTCAGCCAAAAGGCCAAGAAGCGATAGTAGTACTGTAATTTTAAAGTTAAAATTTTATATTTTATGAAAAGGGAACAGAAGTGTTACTCTAGTACTTTTTACAGTGTTGCAGAATATATATATATATTTTTTTTAACTAATTTAATTGCTTTGTAATTTCACAATGCCTATTACTTGGCCAGAATATAATGCATTTCATATTCTTTGCAGTATTTTAGCCTTCATATGAAAGGAAAGAATTATTTTCCACTAGTATGCTATATTTGACCCCTGTGTTCTTACTGTATAAGGGCTGCTGTGTAGTTGTACATTTATCTGGATTGTATTGGATGGATTTTCCTGGTCTCTCTGGGTAGTGCATAGCAGTTTTGGCAAAAGCTGCTAAAACTGAAACATTTAGACCATGGGAATTAGCTTTGAGTTTCCAGTCAGCTAAAATCTTAAAATCAGGGAGGACTCAGTAAAGTAGGTGAAGAAGCAGAAGTTCTCTGCATTGTTCCTCTCCATTCAACTTGTTTGCATTCTGGAGGTTTCAGTTTGAACTTAATGTAAAAATTAGTTTTCCAAATTTAATAAAGTTGAGTGATTAATTTTCTGGTTTTGTTGTTAATTTCTAGGTACATAAAATTGATTGATAGAAGACTTCCATTAAAGAAAGCTTGCCATAAAGTTAAAGCAAAACAGAAAGCCTCCCATGTGCCATATCTGTCTTTTGAGTTTGTGTACAAAATCAGTATTTTGAACTTTGGTTTTTTATGCGTTAAAAGCACAGTTACTGAGAACCTACTGTACACCACGCACATCCTCCCGAGTGGTGTTATTGTCACACTTCAGGACTTCCTGAAAAGGGCTATCATTTGGCAAGATTCATGAGAATGTCGAGGATGCAAAGTTGCTTTGCAGAACACATTTTGTTCTTCCATTCCCTTCTTCAAAGAAGCTGATATTTTTGTATCTTTACATATGTAGGGTATTTGGTATGTTATCTTCCTGAAGCGTTTTTGGAAGCATTTTTGCACACTGAACAGAACAAATACTTGATAAAATGAAATCTTAGTGAAAGCATAGGAATTAGGATAGACAGTAATACTATTTTTTAACAATATTTTCTCCATTATGGAGGGCTATTTCTATATCCTTACAAGTCTTTTATAATATTAACTTGAAAATACTACCAAATCTCTTAACTTGAAAAATGACATATTTAAACTTATATATTATTATTCCTGTATAAATATCTTCATTTTGTTCTTGTTTTATAAGTGATATGTGGTAGCAAGTATATATAGCAATAAGCTGTATTTTCAAGAATCACTGAGTACCAGTTAAGAGCTTATTAGCAACTGGCCACAGTGGGTACTGAATACATTTCAGCTATATATTAGCTTCAAAAATGACCTTCAAATTTTGGAATATGAAAGGAGTCTTCTTTTTTATAATTGTATGCATAGTTGTATGCAATTTTTTAAAATGTGACCCAGTACCAGTGTTAAGTCAGAGATAGATAACAATGTTTGCACGTTGTAGAGCCCTCTCTCTCCCTCTCCTCTACCCTGCTCTGCACTCCCTTTTCTGGAATATAGTACTGGGAATGAGCCCAGGGCCTCTCCACCCTGAACGACATCCCCAGTCCTTCTTTAATTTTTATTTTGAGACAGGGTCTCACTGAGTTGCCCAGACTAGGCTGAAACCTGTGACCCTCCTGCCTCAGCCTCCTCATGTTCTCTTGATGCTCATCTTTTAAAGAGATTATGAAGAAATAACTAGTTCAAATCTGAAAAAATATGACGAATAACTGATTTACTAAATCTGATTTAAATTTCATATCAGGAAAAATGATTTTTGGTGTTCTTAGCCACTGAGGTCCTAACTGAATTTTGGTGGTGGGTAATGATCTCTTTTTTATAATTACTGGCTTCCAATTCTCTCTCTGCATTGCTGAAAACAAAAATTTTGTACTCTGGTATTGGTGATGGGGACGCTTGCACTGAGAAAGCAGCCACATTCAAACTGATTTCAGAAATAAGTTATAATCAGAATTTGCTTCTGCTAAACTAGTAGAGGACCAGTATCCTCTATTCCCACTTGTAGCCGATTTTAGTACTTCTACAAATGACCTTGTGAGTTTTTTTAAACAGAAATAAAGTTTACAAGTCTTAAAAATTTTAAGAAAATATGAGCTTTTACCTGGTTTGTGTATAAATACAAATATATACTTTTTAACTTTTCAAATTAAAATAATTTGTAAAAATAGCAAGTGACAGCTGTTTACATATTTTACAAGAGTAAAATATGCTTTACAGGAGTCATCTTGATGTCAAATTATTTATTTTGCTTAGTGAAAATTTCTAACGTATAATTTTTCAAGGACAAATGAATAAAAATAAACCTTTTTGAGAATTATACAGATAAGAATTAAAAGCTTTTATAAGCCAGTACAAGTGCAGATGTCATTTAAAGTGCCAACACATTTAATGCTTTAAAAATAAAGAATTGATGGCCGGACATGGTGGCGCACTCCTGTAATCCCAGCACTCAGGAAGCTGAGGCAGGAGGATCACTGTGAGTTCGAGACCAGCCTGGGCTACATAGTGAGTTCCAGGTCACTTTCAACTATACAGTGAGACCCTGTCTCAAAAAACCAAAAAAAAAAAAAGAATTGAGCCGGGCGTGGTGGTGCATGCCTGTAATCCCAGCACTTGGGAGGCTGAGGCAGGAGGATTGCTGCGAGTTCAAGACCAGCCTGGGCCTACATAGTGAGTTCCAGGTCAGTCTCAACTACATAGTGAGACCGTGTCTTGAAAAAAACAATAAATTAATTAATTAACTAATTAATTAATTTTAAAAAATAAAGAATTGGAAATTTTTATTTCTAGTTGACTTAGTTAACTAAATTGATTCCATTAAAAATAGATAAAATTTTTTGAGCTATAAGATTTGTATTAGTAGGTTGTTGAATAGAAATATAACCCTGGATGGTATGTTATAAGACTGAAGTATACATTTTAACACATAATCATATTTAGATGCCTGTTTCTTAACTGAAAATTTTAATCAAAACTCTTAGTCTATTTAACTTTACTAAAATAGTTCTTTGGTACTCTTGAGATTTGTAAATATATACCCTAGAGAATTGAACTATCTTTTAACTGTTGTTGACAGTAAATGTACAAATGACTTCAGCATATAAAACTTAGCCCCTTTCGTTAGGTTACTGCCCTTAATAGCCTAGTGGCTGATTCTATGCCTCATTAAATTCAAAACTGCAAATCATACTTTTGATAAATGTTCACTTTGTAGATGCTGGATCCATTTTGTCACATTTGGTTCAGTAGAGACATAGATGTTACCAATTGCAGAAGGTTAAAATATGCTAATACCCAAGATAATTCAATTCAATTCATTCTTTTTGTTGTTGTTACGGGGTATTGATCTTGGGACCTTGCGCTTCTGAGGCAGGTGGCGGAACCACTGAGCTAAATTTACCCCAGCCCTCAATTCATTCTTAAAATAAAACAAATACGATGAGCTTAAAATTAAATGTGTAGTAAAATATACTGACTTTCCTAAGTGTTCATGACTTTTGGAAGAATGGGCACAAATATCACATCTTTAAAGCTAATTTGCAGTACATGAATATTAATAGGAATATGCATTTCTCTTTTACATGGAAACCCCTACTCTGGTTCATAGTGCCCAAGTTCTTTGTCCCCTTATGCTACTGCCTAAATTTCTGGGCTAGGAAAAATCAACTTTTATCTCCACTGTGGGTTTATATGATTGTACTTTGTTAGTGCTCTCATATTATAGCATATTTATAGGATAAATAGAACATTTAAATTAGAATGGAGGTTACAAAGCCAGTATGTTTGAACACTGTTCTGCAGTTACTTTTAACTTGTAGTGAAAATAGAAAATGCACTACTCCCACTTTGTGTGTGTATTTTAAACAGTTTGTGACATTTTAGTATTTTGATAAACAGCCCTTGTTTAATATTTAAATGTAGTTATCCTT